TGTATGTATGTATGTATGTATGTATGTATGTATGTATGTATGTATGTATGTATGTATGTATGTATGTATGTATGTAATAGAAAAATAAAAAAAAACATACACAACAAAGAGGGAAAAAAATCACACTTAAAATTAAAGGAGGCAGAAAGAAAAAAAATCTATTCAAACAAAGCTGGAAAAATAAAAAGGATGGGAAACAAAGTTCTTCTTTTTTAATGTAATTGGTTTAAGTGTGTTGTTGTATTTATTGGTCCATTTACATGTTTCTGCTTTTATTTCTGATTATATCAGTTCACAATGTTTGCTTTTAAAAAACTACTGTATGCTTGACAAGGAGCACCTTGTCCCTAAAATAGAGCACCAACATGTCGTCATCAAGTTTGTCAATTTGGGGAGTATTATAGCCCCAAATCTACTTTAATTGTTTTGGCATATTCAAATTCAAGGGCTGCCAAGTAATGCAAGGTTGAAATGGTAGCTAATGAGAAGCATCGTAACACAAAGAGAATATATAAGTAAGAAATACTTTAGAGTCACTCAGTTTGTGTTGGTAAGCCTATAGGGAGACACTTAGTGCTGATCTAGTTTTGAAGAGCTGCGTTGGCCTCCTTTAATTCGAGGGGCCAGTGCTCTGTCTTGGTCACAAAGAGAGGAATTCATCATCAGAGGACTGAAAGGGGAAAAAAAAAAAATAAGAAAAAAAAAACAATTAAATGCCTGAACCAGGTGCTCAGCTTTCTAGTCAGACTTTCAGAAAAACTGAAAGTGAGTCACAGTTTTGAAATGCCTACATAAAATCTGCAGCAGCTAGCTCTGATACTTTCATTATGAGAACACTGATGTTCTGATGTAAACAGTGAAAATCGAAGCAGATTAAAAAAATACATCCACAGGCCTGTTTATTCTGCAACATTTAATGTTGCTTTTTTTGACCTTAAGGTTTCCTACACTGAGGGATTCCACAATGATTTCAGTTTAATTTATCAGGTAAATAAATCACTTACCTTCATCCTCCCACAGGGCTGGCAATTGATTACTTCAACCACCGTATTTACTGGGCTGATCCTGAGCTCTCGCAGATAGGGAGCATGAGATTGGATGGCTCAGACCCCCTTGTGACAATCAGTAACAGACACGGTAAAGCCAAAAGCAAAACAAATTACAAGCTGTACCTTTTTTTTTTTCCATTTAAACTTATTCTGTCCATGATGCATGCTTGTTTCCTAACTTCTTATCAAAAAATTGCAACAGTAATGCCTGTATGTCTCAGAAGAGTTGGTCTCCACATTGTGTTTAGATCAATCTGCTCACACAACTCTTCCAGGAGCTACGAGATGAAAACACACTTTTTTGTGCATTTTTTTTTTGTTTGCTTTCTTTTCTATTCTGTTATTTAGGAATCTCTCAGCCATACAGAATTGATATATTTGAGGACTACATATATGGAACTGGACTGAAACATGAACTCTTCAAGATTCACAAGTTTGGCAAACTATCAGTGGAGTTTCAGTATTTGGGAGTGGAAAGGCCCACAAACATTTTCATCTCTCATCGTTACAAACAGCAAGATGGTAAGCTGTTTTGAAATGGAGAAAAAGTGTTTTTACTTGTGTACCTATAGCTTTGTTTAATAGCTTCAAAATACATGTTTCTTTTAATTTGCCTATAAGAAGATGCACCATGACAGAGGTAGCAAGGCAAAGAAAATTATTAAAACATGGCACAGATATTACAAAACTGCTGTTGCACCTTAGAGATACAGACTCACATATTCAGCTTCAGATACGTTGAATGCAGCTAAAGTTATTTGAATATCATTGGTTAAAGCAGAGATCAGTGATTTAGGTTTAAGCACCACTGAACTATGTGACCCATCACATCGAAGCGAGGATTAAGTCCCAGAGTAGAGTGTGGAGAAATAAGTAGATGCAGTGTTTCAGTGAAAGCATTTGCAATAATTTTATTTTGTTGAAATATAATGGGAGATTGACAGGCGGATTGGCGCAGCGTCTGCTGTAAAGCGGGCGCTGTACCGGTCCATCGTGGTGAAGAGAGAGCTGAGTCAGAAAGCGAAGCTCTCGATTTACCGGTCGATCTACGTTCCTACCCTCATCTATGGTCATGAGCTTTGGGTCATGACCGAAAGAACGAGGTCCCGGATACAAGCGGCTGAAATGGGTTTCCTCCGCAGGGTGGCTGGGCTCTCCCTTAGAGATAGGGTGAGAAGCTCGGTCATCTGGGAGGGACTCAGAGTAGAGCCGCTGCTCCTCCATGTCGAGAGGAGCCAGTTGAGGTGGCTCGGGCATCTGGTAAGGATGCCTCCTGGATGCCTCCCTGGTGAGGTGTTCCGAGCACGTCCCACCGGGAGGAGGCCCCGAGGAAGACCCAGGACACGCTGGAGGGACTATGTCTCTCGGCTGGCCTGGGAACACCTTGGAGTTCCCCCGGAGGAGCTGGAAGAAGTGGCTGGGGAGAGGGAGGTCTGGGCCTCCCTTCTAAAGCTGCTGCCCCCGCGACCCGACCCCGGATAGGCAGAAGAAAATGGATGGATGGATGGAAATATAATGAATAAATATCTCTGAAACACCCCTACATAGCCTCTATCTAGCCTCTATCATAACATCTACCTCTAAAATAAAAATAATTATAATCCTTTTTTTAGCAGCATTAACAAAAAAACGCAATCAAGAACTTAAGAAAGTTGATTTTACATGATATAGCCCCTTGAATTTTTATGTGATAGTGAAGGAATTTTTGTAAATGTATAACTGAATGTTTTATGCAGTATTGTATTTTTGTACTTTCTGATCGTTGCAGCCATAAATTTAAAACAGAGCATGAGAGTTGGTGTGTCACTGACATGTTCTTTCWGTCWGTATAAACAAAAGTTAGTAATTTTCTTACGTCTGATGTAAAAGGTAAAACCTCCAAGTGTTTTACCAGGATAAGACATAAATTATAAGGTCAGTTCATTATTAAATGAGTAGAAATATGTGTTTTTTATAAGTTTGGAATTGTGCAGAGAGTCTCTGCTTAGATGCAGCCTGCTGGGCTGTTTTGTTTGAGTTTTCAGATACAGCCCAAGGCCTTACACTGAGGCCTGACTGCTGTGCTGGGTACTACTGCATGGAGCCGATTGGAGTCAGATGGGAAATAAAGATTTTTAAAGATATCCAATTGGGCTCCTGCTATTATTCAGACTTCCAGTTTTGAACGACACTAATCTCTACCCCAGTGATAAATTAAAATTATTCTTTTGTCTTACAACTAAGATTGTTGAGTATTCAGCATGTTTGTGTCACAAGCTGCGTTTCCATTGCAAATGTGCGCAAAACTTTGTCGATATTCTGTTAACGTCAAAAAAACACAGTTTCGCAACTGCTGTGTTTCCATTAAGTAAGAAATGCTGTTAAAGTCACGCGTGAATACGTTTGTTCTCGTGATAAGTCATTACAAACATGGCGGCAATGGATGTAAACACATAACATAGCATAGCATAGCATAGCATAGCATAGCATATTGCTAACACGACACTAGCGCTCATCATCAGAGGAGACGTCGGCGTCTTTTATTGAGGCTCTCCAGAGACAAGCCCCTACTTGGGTGCGGCTACGTATGCTGTGTTTTTGGGGAAATTGTAGTCGGTGAGTTTACTATTTTATACTTCTTCTGTGATATTACTACTACTTCTACTTCCTGTTATCTTCTTCTTCGTCTTTTTCGCCAGTAGAAACAGCCGTTTGTTGATCATGTGACTCTCGTGAGGCAGAAAGTGTTTCCATTGCAGTTTTGCGAAAAACACAAATTTCGATACGGCCGAAAAACCACCTCATCCTAGTGCAAAAACATTTTGTCAAAAAACTATTTTTTTTAAACTGACGTGTTTCCAATGAGCGAATTTATATTTGAAATTCTAATTTGCGCATTTTCCTGGTCAATGGAAATACAGCTACTGAGATAGAGCCACACGCGCATTAAAACTCTTTAAAGTATGTTATTCAGATATAAATATACAACTTAAAATAAAATCAGCTTTCTAAAACACAACCAATCAATACCACTCACTTGTATAGAATCTCACTTGCTTGAAGACGTGAACCAACGTCTGTTATTTGTTACATCTGTTGTGTTAATGGTGAAAGAAAGCGCGAGCCAAGTCTTGGTCAGTTTTTCCTCTTACGGGGCAGATTTCTCACTCCCCAGAGGCTCATTAGGCCAGCCGTGTACTCTGAGATGTGCAAGTCTGTGGGCAGAGGATGCACTCAGCTCACACAAAGCTATGAAGTGAGGGCTTGAAATCCTCAGCAAACCCTTCTAAAAACAATTTAAATGGAAGAAAAAAATGCATCTTTATTCTTTGCACGCATTGCTGGTATAAATGGGATCCAACTATACCAAATGTAACAACTAGAAAGAGAATAAATGTAAAAAAAATAAGTGTTTTGTTGTCTGTGTTACGCACAGTTTGTTCATGCTTGACATAATTCACTTTTTTTTTTCCCAGATTGCATCTAATTAAACATTTCATGCAGGACGGTTCACCAGACATGTTTACACAACCTTGCAACAGGAGCTGAATCTACTTCAACACATACAGAACTGAGCAAATGTTGATTAAATGTTTCCATTGTTTTGTTTGTCTGCTGCAGCCAGAATCTAGAGGAGCTCTTCAAAAAGCTCTTTATCAATTAGATGAAAGGAAGTCGTTACGGAATTTTTCATTTGTTGATTTTTCAGTGCAAGGTTCTCTGCTTGATTTAGCCCAACCATTTATCCTGGCTCAAAGAAAACACTCATCAAACCTGAAATTAAAACACTTAAAATAATTGCTTTATTTTAGAAAAAAAATAAAAACAGCTCTTTCAATGGGCGAGTCGTAATCAAACAGATTATTCACTTAGATCCAATTTTTGTTTGCTTTCTTGCTTTTCCTCTCCAAAGCGTCCAATCCATGCTTGAGGATGTCTTGTGACTTTATGTGTCTGCTCAACCCAACGGGAGCCAGATGTACCTGTCCAGAAGGAAAAGTCCTGGTTAACGGCACCTGTAGTGATGTCAACACGTCAGGTAGTCTTATATTTAATCTACTGCAGCAAATATTAAGAATATATGACATCATGATATGTGTTCCTATCTTAGAAAATTATTTGGTTATCAGAAACACCACCCCCGCCCACCCCCAAAAAAATAAAATGATGCAATGTTCACTGAACGTATTGAAAGACCATTCAGTTATCTTACTTTGCTCATGTGTGGCACATTATGATGGCACTAAAAAAAACTGYCCATCTAGCGAAGTGTTAAAATCCTATATCTAGCCAAAATAATATTTTTTTACCTTGTTTTGAGACAGATTTACTAAACAAGAACTGGATGTGTAAAATTAACGATCTTGTTTTCTGAACGTTTAAGATTATTTATCTTATTAACCTGAAAATTTGACTCAAATTAAGTAAAAAAAAAATCTACCAATGGAATAGGACCATTTTTCTTGGTAATACACTGCAAAAAATGTCCACCTAACCAAGTTTTAAAACCTTATATCAGCCAAAAAGTCTTTTTGATCTTGTTTTGAGACTAATTAAATAAACAAGAACTGATTGTGTAAGATTAATAATCTTA